TATTTGTTCAAATTTTATATAAATGGAAGCATACAGTATGTCCTCTTTTTTTTTTTTTTTTTTTGTCTCCTTTCACTCAGCATAATTTGAGATTCATCCATATTTGTAGTGGAGTGGCTGGGTCGTAAGGTAGGTATACGTTTTGAGTCATTTACTTTTAAATCAGGGGTAAGTTTTGAGCCAGGGTCCGGAGTCACCAACAAAAAGCACAAGTTACTCACACAGGCAGTGGAACTATGCCTTACATAGAGAAGAGAGAGAGCAAGATCGGCATCAGTTGTGGGTGCTGTCCCCCCAAGGCCAGAGAGACATTCCCCACGGCCAGTACAAGGCTGATGGTCTGCATTTAACCCTCTTGTGCCGCAGTTGAGAGACACTGTTCCCCCCTGCCAGGAACAAAAATATGAATGGGGCTGGCCAGGTGCTGTGTAACGCAGACATGCTCAGAGCAGAGAGAATGTTCCTGGGAATGTTGATGTGTGCTCCACGCAAGAGGGAAGGGTTATGTTGATAGGGCACTAGCTGCTGTGGGATGTGTTTTGGGTCAGGATGCCCTGGAAAGGGGAGTCAGCCTGCATTCTCATCCTGTCCAAGAAGCCAGGCCAACACACCTAGTCCTAAGAATAAGGTTCGTCTGTGGATCACAGGGAAAGACGGCAGTCTGTGCTTGGCCTGCTCCTTTCACAGTTGATTCATACCAGAGTCCACAACAGAGAAATCTATAGCAATAGAAAGCAGATTAGTGGTTGCTTAGGGCTTGGAGTAGGAGCCCTGGTTGCACAGTGGTTAAGTGCTTGGCTGCTAACTAAAAGGTCAGTAGTTCCAGCCCACCACCAGCTCCCTGGGAGAAAAGATCTGACCATCTGCTCCCATAAGGATTACAGCCTAGGAAACCCTACGGGTCAGTCTTACTCTGTCATATAGGGTCACTAAGAGTCGGAATTCACTTGACTGCACACAACAACAGGACTTGGGGAGGGGAATGAAGGGATGGGGGTGATATCTTATTTAAATCTCATTTTAATTTGTATTTCCTTAATGGCTAATGAAGGAGCAAATGATTAAGCACTCGCTGCTAACCGAAAGGTTGGAAGGTCAGACCCACCCAGCGGCTCCAAAGGAGAAAAACCTGGCACTCTGCTTCCATAAAGATTATAGCCAAGAAAACCTATGGGGCAGTTCTTCTCTGACACGAGGGTGTCACAGTTGCTGTGAGTTGGAATTGACTCAGTGGCGCCTAACAACAATGGCTAATTGTGTGGAGCATCTTTTTATATGCTTGTTTGCCATCTGTGTATCCTCTTGGGTAAACTGTCTCTTCATTCTTTTGCTCATCTTCTAATTGGATTGTTTTTACTGTTTTAGAGTTTGGGCTTTGTTTTTTAAAATACTTTCTAGATACTGTTCCTTCGTTGGATATGTGGTTTGTAAACATTTTCTCCCAGTCTGTAGCTTGTCTTTTTATCCTGTTTTAAGGCTCTTTCCTAGAATAAAAGTTCTTACTTAACCGACATCCACATGTCTTGGTGTCAAGTCGGAGACCTTTTTGCCTAACCCTAGGTCCCAAAGATTTTCTTTTATGTTGCTTCCTAAAAGTTTTATAGTTACATGTTTTACGCCTAAGTCCATGATCCATTTTGTTTTAATGTTTTGTAAGGTGTGATGTTTAGATTGAGGTTCATTATTTCGCCTATGAATATCCAGTTGCTCCAGCAATTTGTTGGAAAGGCTGTTTTTCCTCAGTTGAATTGCCTTTGTGCCTTTGTCAACAGTCAGTTGATATATAGTAAGGATGGATTATGTGAACTGAATTATCCCTGAATTCCTAATTCATGTATAAAAAGGTCCCACAATGAAATTTGTGGGACCAAGTATTTTCAGTGTAATTTCTCACAAAGGTTTTGTGACTTCTCTGTTCTGAAGCAGCGTGGCTTTCCAGATTGGCTTGGCTGAGCGTCTTCTCTTAGCCCCTTTTCCCAAGGTTCTCTTCTTTACGCACTATCTACTACCTCATCCACTCTATTATTTTCAGCTAAGATATCTGTTGATAAGGCCAAAATGTATTATTTCTATCTCTGACTCCTTATTTGTGTTCCAGTTCAGCATTTCTGCTAGCAACATATGTTCCTCTGTCAATTAAAAATCTGTATATCTAAAACTCAGCCCATCGTCTTTCTCACCAAAAATAACTTCACCTTGATTCTAGAAGTCTCTCACTCACCCTTGTCTAAAACCCAAGAAATATCTTTCCCTTTCTTCCTTCTTTACCAGCCCTTCGTTCTCCTTCTCCCAAGTAGTCATCTGATACATCCGTTTGTTCTTCCTTTGATGCTGTCTCTTCTGTTCATTGATGCCCTTGTTCAGACCATTGTTGTTTTACTTGTGAGCTGCTAGAATAACTTTTTTTATAGGGTGAAGGTTACCCGAATAGGGTCCATGCCCTAGAGCAGTGGAGCCAATGAAACGTGCTCCAAGTCAGAAAGAGTGAGAAAGGTTTATTTTAGGAGTTGTCCACCAATGGGGATCCAACAGCAACGCAGGCCGTCTCTATGGAGTCCCAAAAGGCATTTTTACATTAGAGCTTATATATGATTTTTACAAAGGTTAGAAGTGTCCTTATTCATTACAAGGTAATTACAAGAGACTATCATACTAAGACACACATAGCGGACATTTCCTTATCAGGCTAAAGATACACACGTCAGACATCTGGGCTCTAATCTTCCCGTGGGGGGTCATAAGCCACAGGTGGCTGGACAGAGCAAAACAAAGTCATTAACAAAGGTATATGACAAGGAAAAGGCAAAGAAAGAAGAAAAAACACATACGGGTTCATCATGGTGTTAGCTATGTCCAGCTCTGTCACCCATTTTGAAAAGGAGAAAACATGCTGGGGAATATTAGGGTCATGGTAAATAAGTGGAACCATCAAATTAGTCTCTGTAAAATAATGATTGGGGGGTGTTGCTATAACAGTATTAACATACATAAGTGGGTGGCTTTAAGGAACAAATTTATTTTCCCACAGTTGAGGAGGCTAGACGTCTGAATTCAGGGCACCGGCTCTAAGGGAAGACTGTCTGCTCTGGGGGAGGATCCCTGCCCCACCTTCTCCAGCGTTCTTCTCCGACTTCCTTGGTGGTCTCCACGTGGCATCTGTCTTTCCCCCATTTGTGCTTGCTTCCTTCTGTGCCTAATCTGTTCTGTTTATGCCTCAAAGGCGATTGGCTTGAAACACACCTGACACTGACACGGCCCCATTAAGATAACAAAGAAAATTCTATTTCCAAATGGAATTACAACCACAGGTATAGGGGTTAGGATTCCAGTGCATACTTTTGGGGGACACAATTAAATCCATAATGGGGGTGTGGTATTTGCCCACCTCTATACCTTTTTTTTTTTGTATACTTTTCTTTGGAGCCCTGGTGGCGCAGTGGTTACGAGCTCGCCAGAATCCACCAGCCGTTCTCCTTGGCAACCCTATGGGGTAGTTCTTCTCTGTCCTTTAGGGTCACTATGAGTTGGAATCAACTCGACGTGAACCGGTTTGTTTTTTGGTTTTTCTGACTTTCTTCATGCCACGTGAGGGGCCCTCCCTCAGCTTCTGCCTGTGCAGTATTAGCCACCCTTGCGTCCTCGTTTCGTTCACATAGTCTTTGAATACCTCAGACCGCAGGCGCCTCCCCCTCTGAATTCCTCCAGTACACGTCCTGTGCTTCGTTAATATGCCGTGTTTATATGTTATGATTTAACTTACTTACTAGATTATAAATTGCCAGAGAGTGAGGATATATACCACAGAACTCTGTATTTGCTGTGCAACCCAAATAGAGCCGTGCACTTAGTAAGTTTCCAGTGAATATTCTTGAATGAATTAGAAGATGATTTAATTAAATTTTACAGTGAAGGGGCAAGGAACAACAACAGCCTAATAAAGTATTTATTCTGTTTAACTCTGTATCCAGGTGACTGATAAAGGACTAGGCTATTCTGTATTACTGTTTTCTAGATTTTCTAAATGGAATTGCTTTAGTGATTGTCCTAATACAGATAAAATCACTTTAATTTTTCTATGGTAAATATTTTTAGTAATGTTTTTAAATTCATTTCTCTACAGATTAATTTATTATTTAGAAGAACAAGTAGAGTTAATTATCTTCATATTTGAAAAAAGCATGGAAAATATTTTGTAAGTTTTTTTAAAACCCTTTTTTAAGTCTTACTATTTACTGTTTTCAGTAACCTAGTGTTTTGTAATTTACAAAATTTGATCCAACTCATAGTGAGCTATAGGACAGAGAACTACCCCATAGGGTTTCCGAGGAGCGGCAGTGGATTCGAACTGCCGACCTGTTGGTTAGCAGCCGAGCTCTTAACTACTGCGCCACCAGGGCTCCACCTTTTAAACAGCCAGTATTTAAACATTGTGGATGTGCCAGTTTTGGTAGTAATAGTAATATAACAATTATATAAAAATTCTAGCAGCTGCCATCTGTCTTCAGCTTCCTTATATGTAAATTGAAAGGTTTGACTTACATGATTTCTGAATTCCCTTTGAATTCAGTTTCGGAAATGAATGCCGGTATTTTGTAATTCAGTACATTTTTATACACCTGTTTTGAATTCAACATGGACTCTTCCTAAGAACTGTTACATAGACACACAGCAGAATGTTGTGTGTTTTTCTTTACACTACTCAGTCAGCTCTCAACAACCGTGCAAGGCTGGTCATATCCCAATTTTACAAAGAAGAAAATGTGAAAATTAGGTCATTTGCTGAAGATCCCATAGCTGTTCTGTGGTTGAGGTGAAGTTAGAGCCTGGCCCACGTGGCTGCCCTGTTCTGCCCTTTTCATTGTAGCAGGCTGCAGAGGTGGAACAGTAAGTCATGGGCCAGTTAGACACTTCATTCATGCACTCAGACATCGGTTAAATACCTCATCTGTCAATACCAGAATCAGAATGCCCGAGAACTTAACTGTGCGAAGTGGTGGGGAATGTGCCTGGAGCCTGAGGACAGCAGAGGTCTCAGACCCTGGTGGCTATTGATACCTCACAGGGGAAAACTAGGGAAGATTAATGAAAATCAAAACCTTCAGCACAGAATTTCAAATTCTCATGGACTGTAGACTTTCTGGAACCATGGAGGCTGGGTGACCCCTGAAGCTATTGCCCTGAGATAATCTTTAAACCCTTAAAGCAAAAATAGCCCCTGAAGTCATCTTAAAACCAAACGGTAGTTTAACTTAACTAGTAAAGAATGTCTGTCTTCAGCATTATGCTCTTTTAAGAACTATATGGGATCCAAGTGACAGATAGGAACCTTAGGGGGCAGAGAGTTTATGTTAACGGGAGAGGAACAACTCAGAAGAGAAGGGTTGAGAATAGTTGCACAACTCAAAGAATGTAGTCAGTGTCACTGAAATGTCCATGTAGAAACTGTTGAATTGGTATATGTTTTGCAGTGTATATCCTCCACAAGAAAATTGAAGAAAAAAAAAAATAGGAATGACAAAAAACAATTTCAAAACTGAATGACAAAAAAAAGTAAATCTGAGTTTGGACCAAGTAGAAGATTAGTTAAATACAAATTCTAGAATTTCTGATTTTTTTTTTTCTTTAATCAACCTGTATTTTGTTTTTTAGCTTTGTGACTCTTTTATCTTAAAGAGAAAATTCATGATGATAACGGTTCAAATATTCACTGTGGAAAAAAAATGCCTCATTTTCTTTATGTGATCTTTAAAAGCTATGAAATTTAAAGATGAATGAGCTAGAATTTATAAAAAAAAGTATTTAGCACTCTTGGAAGAAAGGTACTAAATGAATAAAAGGACATACTTACTGCTGCTATTATATAATTCTTTGTCGGGATGATAGAGGTTATTTCTTAACTATTCTGAAATGGAGTAAGACAATAAATTACTTTGAAACAAAAGATATTTATATTTCACTTTGTTTTAAATGTGACTTAAATGCAGTCAGCTGACCATCGTTCACTCAAGATATTTTAATTTCAACTGTTCCCTTTGCAAAGCATTGTTTTAAGTTGCTATTGAAATAGCAACTCCTCAACTACTCAATATTTCATATTCTTTTAAAATAACTGTTCTTCTTGGCTAGTATTCCGACTCTTACCCTTCATTTCTTTCTGTTTTCTTTCTGGCAGGATAAGCTACAATATTCTTTTAAAATAAAGCAGGAAGTTTTGTAATAGTTACTCATTATTAGTTGTGGATTTTAGCAAGTAGCAAACACCCCTTTACAGTAGCTTTAAAATGTCTTTTTGTATCTCGCGTACGTATGGTTTGAGTAATTGTGGGACTCTATTTTCAGATGATTTGAAAGGAGAGCTAGATGAGTATGTCCAAAAATACCTCCCTGGAAAAACTAAAGTAATAAGGAATAAGAAGCGTGAGGGATTGATTCGAGGAAGAATGATTGGAGCGGCCCACGCGACAGGTAGGACTGTGGCTGGCTTTCCTCTGCAGGGCTGGGTGGTGGGGGCTCTGTCCTCAGGGAGCTTTGGTGCTGCAGAGGCACGTGAAGAGTGGTGTTTGGGAACGGGCATGCCAGCTGGCAGAGGTGAGGCTTCTTCATTTTGGGAAAGGGCCTTTTCGTAAATCCAAACCCGTTGCAAGATCACAAGGAGTTGGAATGATACAGTCCTTACTGGCCTGTTTTCATAGTGGCCCTTATTGTCAGTTACTGCCCCTCAGTGAGCTTTATGTCTTATTCACTTATATAAGCAGAAAACTCAGAACCAAAATGTAAACAAACTTTTCTCTGTTTTCAATACAAAGTTTAAGATATTTGTGCCCATACTATTTGACTTGAATTATGCCACTGCTTCTGAAAGTGTGGAATGCATGCCTCTAGTGATAGGTATTATGATTTTACTTGGTAAGAGAACATAACATTAAAACTGAATTACATAACTATAAAGGCTTTTTTTTTTCCTTAATTCTTTCTCAGTACTTTTGATTCCATCAAGAGAAAGTCTCCATTTTTTTTTTTTTTTACTGGTACAGCTTTAAAACCTTTCCATCATATACTTATCTCCTTTTCAAAAAATAAAGAACAGGTCTTCTGCACAAAATATACCTGGTTAGTCTTCAGTGACATTATATTGATTCCACTGCATTTGTTTTTATAGTTACCTTCTGTGTAAGGAAGGAGTTCTGGTGGCGCAGTGGTTAAAGTGCTCGGCTGCCAACCAGAAGGTCAGTGGTTTGAATCTACCAGCTGCTCCACAGGAGAAGGATGCGGCGGTCGTGCTTCCATAAAGATTTACAGCCTTGGAAACCTTATGGGGCAGTTATACTCTGCCCTACAGGGTTGCTGTGAGTCGGAATTGACTCGATGGCGGTGGTTTCTATGTAAGATTGATGACCCTGATTTTTATTTATAATTTTGACCAAAAAAAAAAAAAAAAAGAATCCTCTTAAATTTATTTAAGTTGAAACAAATGAATCAGTTTAAACATATTAGGTAAGTAGTACTGCAGGTAGTGGCAGAAAAAGTTAGAAGGTAATTTAAGAATCACGAGATGTCTGCCCTGTTCCCGTGCACTCCTTTCTGCTCCATCACCCAGGGCTTGAGGTGGTCTGCCCTGCTTGCCGCCACCACTCCTCCTTTATAACAAGTTCCATTAAAATTAGGACTTCACTTTCAGAACCTTTCTTCCTCCCTTCTTTGCCTTAAATGTGTTATTGTTAGGTGCCATCAAGTTGGTTGCAACCCACAGTGACCCTTTGTGCAGCAGAGTGGAATGTATACCAATTGAATTCAAGGCTTATGATATTTTCTTTTCTAAAACTTCTAGTCAAGTACAGGTTTACTCAATTGGCCTGTTGAATTACTGAAGACAACAAAATAACAACCATCAAAGTTGTAGGGTATTTTCAAGCTTATGCCACTTGAAACATTGTATTCTTACAATGTATAGTTACTGTGAGTTTATTTTTTTTTTTCAGCTAACAATAGTTATTTAGTTTTTTCTTTATGGTTTGTTGGTCCTTTTCAAATATTATAGTTTAGATTCTGTTGGAAGCAAGCAGGTTCATTGTAACAAGGTGTAGTCTTACCTATTTAGTTAAATTGGCTTTAATTGGAAAAAGTTAACACTTTTAGAATTAAGAAAAGCTATGAATGTATTTCCTCCCCAAAGGAACCTGGATTGAGTTGATCTCATTTCACAGTGAATAATGTTCATGCTGAACATTTTGCTTTTCTCCGTTAAACAACAGCTGGTGAGCCGTGTGCTGTTTAAAATCCAGCTTAAGGCCGTTTACAAATGTTTAGCTGCATGACTAATTCACAGTCATCGTTGAAAGCTTTCTTTTTCTGTGCTATCATTAATTGAAATAGGAGGCATCTGGTGCTTTAAGTAACTCATGTAAAATCTATGTAGATACATTTCACGATAAACTTCTGGAAGAATAATAATGCTGTCTGACGGTCAGGTTCTGAGTTTCTCAGCTGCTGAGAATAACCCTGCAGTTATCAGAGAAATTCTCCTTCCTCCTCACAGTTTTTAAGAGGAGTTAAAAATGCAGGCTACAATTTTTATTATTTTTGTTTTGCTAACTAGAAAGAAAGTGTACCATATTTTTACACAAATACCATGCACCATCTATGTTTATTTGCCAGCTCACCCCCCCGCCAAGGTATTTTCGTAAGCACACTGCTGATTTTTTACAGCAACGTGTAAAAAAAAAAAAAAGAAAAGTTGGCACAGTGGCACTTATGAAAATACCTTGAGGGGAGAGGGCACGGTTGGCAAACAAATGTAGAAGGCACGCGTTATTTGTGTAAAAATGCAGTATGCCATTGACTAATGTGAGCCACTAGGCCCAGGAAGGTTGGGAGAATGAGACAGGAGAGGTGAGAAACAGGAGAGTAAATGGGAGTGAGGAGTAGGGGTGGTGTCAGGAGATAGTGGTGAGTCCAGGGGAGCAGAGGGCCACATCACCAGCATCGTAGATAGTATCAGGGTACAGACCAGAGGCACATAATCTTCCCTCACTTTTGAGAGAATTGGCATCTTGTAGCAATAGCTGATCATTGTAATGATGTTTCTGAGTCAACAATAAAAATGTGTTATGTTCACTATACTCTGTTTACTAAGGGAGGGATATTATTCTGAATGTATACCAAATTTAGGAATAACTCAGTTAAAGTAATTGTAAAAAAAAAATATCTACACACAGGTAGTCATTGTGATTGTACAAAAACACCTTGAATGACTCAATACCTGGCCATCCCAAAGAACTGAATTGTTACTGTGAGGCTCTGAGTCTTTTTACTGCAGAGAATCTGAATTGTCTCTAGATTTTTTTCAAGAGTTGTGTATATTATTTGTGTATGTGCTTCAGTTATATCGGTACACCTCAGGCAAAATTCTTGGCTAAAGAACTTCCCTTGTTTACGATTGGCAGTAAAGCCCTGGTTTAATATTGTCTGGGGTGATAAGGGTAGAAGCCATGTTTTATGCCATGTAAATGCATCGTCGGGATGAGTAGCAGTATCTGAGTTGAGTGTTACTGATCTCTTGTGGACCTCTGTTATTGTGTCTCTTCAGGAGAAGTTCTGGTCTTCCTCGATAGCCACTGTGAGGTGAATAAGATGTGGCTGCAGCCCTTGCTGGCTGCTGTCCGCGAGGACACTCACACCGTGGTTTGCCCCGTGATCGACATCATCAGCGCCGACACACTCGTGTACAGCTCGTCTCCTGTGGTGCGAGGAGGCTTCAACTGGGGGCTGCACTTCAAGTGGGATCTCGTTCCCCTTGATGAGCTAGGAGGACCTGAAGGAGCTACTGCACCAATAAAGTAAGACTTCTCCTTTGTGCTGGAAAAATTCCTGCCTAAAGAGAAAAAATAAAATATTTTAAAGGTAATTCCTTTGTCTTTGTAAGGAGCAAAAATCTTGGCTTAATTTGTTTGTCCATTAAAAATTCTGGGGCACTTACTTGCCTCTGCCAAGTCCTAAGGAAAAGAAAGATTTATGAATAAGAAATTGTCCCTGCACTCAAGGATTTATAGCTTAGTGAGAATGACAAATAAAGTAAACAATATCCCGTAGTAACTGTTGCGCAGAGTACTGTGGAAGTTTCCCATACACTGTGTTTTTTATGCCAAATTCCATGGTTTATTGATTTGATGATTAATTAATCCTCAGTTCTTCGTTAGTGTGAATAATGCTGTGAAGAACATTTAACATAAGATGAAAGCTTTTTCTATATTTAGGATTTTTAAAGATGGAGTCCTGCTAGTACAGTTTCTAAGTCATAGTATATGAATTTTTTTCAGCTCTCATCCATGTTTCATGTTCTCTAATTTATAAATCTGCTCTTGTAAGTTACTTCTCCTTTCTTGGTTTTTTTTTTTTTTATTTTTTTTATTTTCTTTTGTAGATTTCAGAGAGGTTTGTTTGTATTTCTGCTTTTTAAAGTTCTTGGACCTAGTTTGTTTTGTTTGAACTTTGGTATTGTGAAAGTAGCCTCCATAAACAGTGCATAATATACATAGATACGTAGTCTAATGAACAGCTGTAACGTGAGCACATGTGTAGCTACCATGCAGATCAGGAAGCAGCACCCAGAAGTACCCCTGGACAGCCCTCCTTGATTCCATGCCCTGCCCTCGTCCCCAGAGGTGTCCATCAACCTGACCATGACCACTCATTTCTCTGCTTTCCTTTACACTCCACCTGTGTACGCACCTCTGAACAAGGTAGTTTAGTTTTGCCTGACTTTCTACGTTATAGAAGTTGTGCTTGTTTTACTCAACATTGTTTTAAAAATTCATCATTCATTCATTCATAGCTATAGTTGATTCATTTTCAGTGCTGTATAATATTCTGTTATATGAAGATACCATAACGGACATCCTTTTGTGGTTGGTAGGACATCGGCTTGTTTCCAGCTTCTCCATGTGCAGTACTGTTGCAGACACTCTTATCCATGGGTCTGGTTTCAGGGGTGAGATTGCTGGGTCACAAGGCATGCCTCTCTTCAACGTCAGTAGATACTGCCATTGGCGTTTCCCAGCAGATAAGGTGACTGGAAGGCCTTCGGCTCCTCAGCTGGCCGTTTGGTACTTGTAGCTTCCTTCCATCTGCATTAGACCTGGAGAGGCTGGTACCTGGAGGCTGAGGCCCAGTCCCAGGTGCCTGCTGTGACCCAGCAGCACAGGCTGAGTTGTCTTCTGCTTGTCAGGCTCTGTGCTGGAAGCTCTGATGCAGTTCTTCTTGTACTAGTGAAGTCCATGAGAGAGGCACACACGGCTTCCAGTGGTTCCTGTCTTCACATGCTTGCAGCACCATTTCCAGGCTGCCTTGCCTGGGAGTCACCGCCCACCCTCCCTTCCTTGGCTCTGCAGATGGGACATGGGTGGTGAGCACAGCTTGTAAGACAGCAGTGCCGCAGTAACACTCAGATAGGGCAGGAGAAGACAGGGTGAGAACCAGCTGTCTCTCACCCCTGCTTCCCTTTCTTGTTCCCATCCCCCAGAGGCAAACTCTTAGCTGTTTCTATTTTTGGTCTTCTGTTTGTTACTTCCTTAACTCTAGATGATAAGCGTATCCCTCTCATCAACTTTAGACCCTGTCTGTGTGAAAATGAAGCTTACTTACATCACTCGCCTGGTACTCTTTATCTCCTAGTGTTTTATTACTAGTCTTTTTAATTATTTATTGGTTGCTTTTGTTACTTTAAATAAATCTCTTGTTCTGTCAACTTTTGACAGTACCATTTAACACTCCTCCTTGTACAGTGAGGGTATCAGTGCCTCTTAAGGTTGGCAGTTTGAACCCACCCAGCAGCACCATGAAAGAAAGACCTGGCGATCTGCTTCCGTAAAGATTACAGCCAAGAAAACCCTGTGGAGTAATTCTGCTCTGTCACATTTGACGTCACTATGAGTTGGAATCCACTTCAGGGCAGTGGGTTTGGGGTTTTTTGGTTTACTCTTTCTTCCATTTTTTCTCTCCTTCTGTGAGCTGTTTTATGATAATGAGGTTGCTAACTTCTTGAGTTGAATGTTTAGATTTTTAATTTTCAGGCTTTTTTCTTTTCTGACACATGTGTTTTAAGGCTATGAATTTTCTTCTAAGCATGACGTTAGCTGCATCCCACAAGTTGTGCTGTAGGATCATTTCATTTAAAATACTTACACTGTGATGTCATCTCTGACCCAGAGGCCATTTAGAAGTACATTACTTATTTTCCAGACGCATGGAGATCTGATGGTTATCTTTTGTTTCTTATTCCTAGCTTAATTACACCATGGTCAGAGATTTTACTCCTATGAAAATTATTCAGTTTTGCTTTACATGGTCTGGCATATGGTTAATTTTTGTGAGTATTCCTTGTGTGCCTAAAAAAAAGTATGTTTTCTACAGTTATTAAAAATGGAATTCTGTGTGGCAGTTTGATTTAGTATTTTGTTATTCAAATATTCTGTTTTTATTAGTTTTTAATTTGCATGTTCTATCAGTTATTGAAAGTGCTGTATTCAGGTTTCCCACTACAATTGGGTATTTGTCTGTGCTTGCATTTCTGTTACTTTTTGTTTTATGGATTTTGAGGCTTTGTTAATAGATGCATGGAGGTTTAGAATTGTTACATTTTCTTAGTGAATGAAACCATTTATCATTATGATTTGTTCCTCTTTTATTCTAGACTTTTAGAATAGTAAGACTTTTGCTTTATAGTCTGATATTAATATGGCTATTCCAACTTTATTAGTATTTCATTTTACTTTCAGTCTTCCTATGTTCTTATATTTTAGATGTATCCTTTGTAAGTTTGTGTCCCTTATACAGTTGCTTTTGTTCTATGACGTTTAGTTTTTAAACCAGTGTGAAAGCTTTGTCTTTTAATTAGGTATTTAATTCATTACATTCAGTAATATTACTTAATATTTTGTGTTTAAGTCCACAGTAGTACTATTTGCTTTCTATTTATCCTGTCTGTTCTGTATTCCTTTTTCTCTTCTTGCCTTCTTTTGGACTGTGTGTGGATTTATTTTTCTTCATCCGAACCACCACCTCATTATTAGAAGGTGTACATTCTTGCAGTAGTTATCCTAGAGAATATAACATACATCCTTGACTTATCAAAGCATAATACAATTAATATTATATATTAATATAATGTATATATTAATAATATAATATAAATTGGTACTTTTCCCAGGAACTTTCCCAAACAATGCAGAGATCTCTGAATGTTCATACTCTAGTTATCCCTCTTCAAAGTTATATGCTATTGTTGAAGTGTGTGTGTGTGTGTGTGTGTGTGTACTTATGTATATCCCTGCAAATGTATTTTTTATGTAACCAGTATTCATTTAGATTTACCCACATATTTCCCTTTTTATGTTACCCTTTATGCTTTCTGTGTCTGCAGGCTTCCAGCTGAGATTACTTTTATTCTGGCTAAAGAACACCTATTAGTATTTCTTTTACTGTGGACTTTCTAGTGATTACTTCTCTCTCTTTTTATTCCCCCCAAGATGTCTTGGTTTCATTGTTACTTTGAAGAATATTGTTACTCGATATCCCGTTCTAGGTTGGCAGATGTTGCTTTCAGGACTTTAAAGGTATCATTCCGGGGCGTGGCTTCCACTGTTTCTGATGAGAAGTCAGTGTCAGTCTTATTTTTGTTTCCTTTAGAAGTAATCTGTCTTCTTTAAAAAATTTACTTCTGTCTTTATTTTTCAGAAATGTTCTTCAGATATGTATAAATGTGCTTTCTTTTTTGATAGTGTCTAATTCTCTGCCAAATTCTCAATCCTGTCTTTTATCTCCTTGAACATATTGAGCAGTTATTTTAAAGTCTCTGCCTGATACCTCCACTCTCTGAAACCCAGTACGTCTTTTTCTGTTGTAGGTTGTTTTCTTGCATCTGGTTTTACCTTCTGGTTGCCTCATTATTGAATTAATGATTTTTACTGAGTGCCAGACATTATATATGAAAAATTACAGAAATGTATCGATGCCTCGAATGAGCTTTTCTTCCTGCAGAGAGAATTTTGCTGCATTCTGGATGCAGCTGAGGACACTAGAATCTATGACCACCTTAATCTGGTTTCAGGAACTGAGTGACTGGAAGTTGGCTTGAGTCTCTGTGAAGGCCAATCTGCTTCACATTCCCCTAACTCTACACAGGGTTTCTCAACCTTGTCATTATTGATGTTTGGGGCCAGATACTTCTTTGTTGCAGGGGCCTGTCTTGTGCACTTTAGAATATTTAGTGGCACTCCTGGCCTTAACCCAGTAGCACCCCCTCCCCCAGTAGTGGTAACTAAGTATGTCTCTGGACATTACTGGGTGTCTCCTGGGGGAGAAGTCACCCCTATTTGAGAAGCACCAGTCTAACACATGTTTGAGTCCAGCTCAAAGTGTGTGGTTTTGTCAAGTCTCCCCTCGGCAGACCCTAGAGTTCGTTTTTTATCCCAGTGGCTCTATGAGACTGTCCAAAGGAATTATGTAATTTATTTGAGGCAGTTTCTATCAAAAATGGTTATAATAAAATTGGTTTATTAGAAAAGTATCCTTCCTATGCCAGGTGTCCAGCATATATATCATTGACAATCTAGAAAATTGAGTTATGTGGCTCAGCTGATAATATCAGATATGTTTTCATAACACTTAATGTAGTTCTTATTTACAATGTTCCAGAGCTGCACTGAGTTTTTAAAATGAAAACAGTAGGTAAAATAAGTGATGACAGAATGAGTACAGTAATCATTTTCCTTTCCTAGGTCACCGACAATGGCTGGAGGATTGTTTGCCATGAACAGACGCTATTTCAATGAACTAGGGCAGTACGACAGTGGCATGGATATCTGGGGAGGAGAAAATTTGGAAATATCATTTAGGGTAATTTTTATCTTTTTGGATGCTTAATTATTAACTTTGTGAGTAGTGGGATATAATTTCCATCCATGTTTTCAGTAAATTCTCCTTGATTGTCTTTATTGACAATTTGTCCTTAATGAGTACCTACTTTACATAGTCTATAATATGGATAATACCTATTCAGTATATCAAAAGCATAAAAAAAGCTCTATATTTACTTTATAAGAATTGACAAGGTATGATTGTAACGAATGTTTGAGTGTAATTCAGAAAATCTTAATGTGAGTTTAATCTAGAGTTTTGTTCTTTCCCTGTCAGTTTATTAATTTTCTTGATACCATGAGATATATACAGCCAGGATGATCAGATTTCCCTGTTTGCCTGAGACAGTCCTGGTTCACAGCTGTTCTCCTGGAAAAATTATTCTTAGCTCCCATTTCACTCTCAGAAGTATCCCAGTGTAGATGATAAAGTGTCAGTCACTCCATGTATAACTTACTGAATCTGCTATATATACAGGTGCCTCCAACCTGAGAGGGAAATTCAGCTTTCGTAATCTCTCCTCCCAATTCCTGAAGGTAGAAATATGAGCGGGGTTTGTGGCACAGGGGACTGTGGTGGTAAGACAGTTTTGGAAAAGGCTGAAAGAAGGCAAGGGAAGGAACTCAGACCTCTCCTTCCGAGCAGGTGCCCCAGTTTCCACCCTCCTGCCTCCTGGTCGAGACAGGAGGGTCCTCATTCAGGTGCTGCACAAGGCTGTGTGTGTATGTTGTGTTGTATTTTTGAAAATATTTTGACCACCGTGTTCTTAAAAGCAGTTTTTCCTATATAATCTTTAGAATTTTAAAGTTGAAAAGCAGAAGTCATTAGTTCACTGTTCACATTTTCTAGAAAATATAGCTGAGTCCCACAAAAGTTAGAATAACTTATGGAAAGTAACTCATGATAGTCCAGGGCAAAAATTAGACAAGAACTAAGATCTTCTGGATCATAATCCAGAGTTTTTCTGTATTTTTTTAAAAAATTGTTTTCTAAAATAAGTATAAACATTTTAAAAGAAAATACCTGCAAAACTGAACTTAGAGGACAGTTAGCAAGCATTCGAAGTGACCTTAGTCTGTTAAAGTACCGAAGTATGGTGGGTGCGATTTTAGACACGTGGTGGTAAATGAATATTACACTGTTTTAGAATCTAGTTTATTTTTATTCATAAAGACATGATTTTTTTAAAAAGATACCCTCTGACTTTCTTTTCTTTGAATATTTATATGTAGTAAGATACAACATCTTGTAACATTTCATAAACACCCCTGTAATAAATATTAACTTCATGAAAATTCATACATGGTTTCTCAGTAATGTGAGGCAACTGTTAATTCCTGTTTTGCTTCTGACCAGATCTGGATGTGTGGAGGTAAGCTCTTCATCATCCCTTGCTCTAGAGTAGGACACATCTTCCGGAAAAGGCGCCCATATGGGTCTCCTGAAGGGCAGGACACCATGACCCACAACTCCCTGCGGCTGGCCCACGTCTGGCTGGATGAGTACAAGGTGAGGTGGAGTCTCCGGTCTGGAGGGCAGATGGCAGGCCAGCCACCGCCCTGGGATGGCTTTCGTTGCTTTCCTTTTCAGTTTTGTGTATTTCTGTTTGGGTGACCTTTTCTTTAGGGCCATCTGTTTCTAAGTTTCTTTTCTTTCTCTCCTCTTCACCAAATACTTCCCTTGTTTTTAGTTGTAATCTGACTCTTCGTTTCGTTTTCCAAGTGATCGCTACCAGGAAACGCTGCCAGCATCAGAAGTCCTTTCTCTTCAGTGTCTGCCTTCCTTCAGGCTCCTCTCCTGTGGCTCCCACACGGCTTGGCTTCTTTGCTTTGCGCATCGAGCCTCACTGTGGCCCAGTCCCATCACTTCACCTGTTAGACTCTGCGCATTTAGTATGCCTTCCTTCTTTCTCTTCTGCCATAAGCAACTTCTAATGGTGTTATTTTGATAACTGCTTTATAAGATATAATTTATAAATCATTTTAGAACACTTCTATCACCCAGAAAGGAACTCCATGTCACCCTCCAGTCCGCTGTCTCCCCCAGCCCTAGACAACCACTAATCTACCTTCCGGCCATACTTTTGCCTGTTCTCACCTTATGCATAATTGGAATGAATCATATAATAAGTGATCTTTGTGTCTAGCTTCTTTCACTCAGCACAGTGTTTCTAAGGTTAATCCATGTCATAACATGTATCAGTATTTCATGTCTTTTTATTGCAGAATAATATTCCATTGTATGGATACACTATGCTTTGTTTATCCACTTATCAGTTAATGGACACTTGGGCTATTTCCACTTTTGGGCTGTTGTGAATAATACTGCTGGGAACATTCCTATACAATTACTTTTTAAGCAAACATTTATTGAGCACCTGCTGTATGCCAGGCTCTGTGTTAGGTTTTCGGGGACACAGAGAGGAATAAGGGAATGCACTATTAACTGTAACACTGTGAGATAAATGTAAATGGAAGTATGAGCTGTGTGCTGTGGGAAGATGAGAATGAAGCAACTAACTGTGCTGGGGAGTAAAAGCAGAGATTGCTTATAGCACTACTGTGTTGTTTATCTTCTCCCTTCTCCCCTGTGCTAGGTGTGAGCTCCTCGAGGTCCATCTCCAAGCTCACATCTTGAATCATCACTGTCTCACACAGCAGTCAGTGTATCCACAGACCCATGGAGTCTGTCTGTTACCAGGTGCTCCTCTAACAGAAGTGCCATAAGTGGGTGGCTTTCAGAAACAGAAATTTATTTTTCCCACAGTTCAGAAGGCTGGAAGTCTGAATTCAGTGTGTGGCTCTAGGGGAAGGTCCTTGTCTATTTCAGCTTCTAGTAGCTGGCAGTCCTTGGAGTTCCTGGGCTTGTAGACTTGTTTCCTTCTGTCGTCTTTAGAGAGTGTCTGCCTTCCCCTGTGTGCGCTGGCTCACCTCTGTGTCTGTTCTGCTCCTTGTATCTCCGCAGTGGTTAGGGCCTCATTAACATAACAAAGAAATCCTGTTTCCAAGTAGGATTAGATCCACAAGTGTAAGGGTCATGACTCCAACACATATTTTGAGGGGCCACAACTCAACCCATAACAGGGTCCCAGTGACCCTTGGAGGAGGCCTACAAGGTCAGAGTTATTTTCTACAGTTAGATTAATATATTATTTACCTTTTTCACTGTGTTAGCATTGCACTGATGGTGCAAAACAATAGAATAAAATGGCTGGTGCCATAGTGTAAATCAAGGCAGTAGCAGCAAACTGTACTAGTGGTCATTGTGTTCTTCACTGCCGTGCACACAGAAGTTACGGGGTGGAAAAACCCAATTTCATTCAAGAATATCATTGATGAAATAGTAAAAATAATTAACTTTATTAAATCTCAACCCTCGAGTACCTGCCTTTTTAATATTATGTGTGACAGATTGGTTAAGTGTGCAGAAGCATTTTTGCTGCATACTGAAATAGAATGGTTGCTTCAAGGAAGAAGGCTTGTGGGGCTGTTTGAGTTACGAGCTGAACTAATCACTTTTCTGAAGGAACACTTTTTTTTAATAATGTATTTTATTTTTTGTTGTTGGTACACAGCACAGCATACACCAATTCAGCACTTTCCACATGCGCAATTCAGTGATACTGATTGCATTCTGTCCCCTAAACTCCCCATCTAACCTTTCCCGTTTCTGTTGTCAATTTCTGATATAGATAGATCTTTAAAGAGCACAATGCTCAAGGCAGACATTCTTTACTAATCAGGGTAAACTATTGTTTGGTTTTAAGAAAACTTCAGGGGATATTTTTGGCTTCAGGTTTAAAGATTATCTCAGGGCAATAGTTTCCGGGGTTCATCCAGCCTCTAGGAACACTCTTTTGACATAGAAGAATGACTGACTCGCACACTAGGGTTATTCACATTTGGGTTTTTGGCAACATTTTCTCAAAAATGAACCAAGTGAGCCTTTCACATTAAAGAAAACAGCAGACAGTATTTGTGGCAAATGATAAAACATCCAAGCTTTCAAGTGAAAATTAGAACTTTGGAGAGTTTATATCCACCACCATGAGCTCGGATGCTTCCTAGTACTAAGAAACGTTTCTAATGAGATCAGTGGTGGTATTTGTGAATGTAAATTTTTTAATGGATATAAAGAACTTCGTCAGCCTTTGTAAGGTCTGCACCACTCAGTGGATCAGTGCTTTCCAGGTGATGAATGCGCTACATTGTAAAGTCTTGCATAGGTAAAAAGATCCATTCAAAGAACAAGAGAGACCTTCTGGTTTTATTGTAACACAGTATGAGAACTTCATGTTCCACTTTGTAACTAACCTTTACCTTGTCATGTTTTGGTATTGTATAAAGAAGAACAGCCATGATTATCTGGAGCAGCTATTAAAATATTCCTTCCCTTTTCAACTACTTATTTGTGTGAGGTCGTGTTTTTTTAAATATACTTCATGAAAACAACATATAGCAACAGGTTGAATGCAGATACGAAAATTTAACTGGCGTCTATTAAACCAGACATTTAAACAGATTTATAAAAATAAAACAATGCCACTGTTCTCTCTAAATTTTTTGGTCTGGAAAATATAGTTCTTTTTACTCAAAGCATGATATTTATGTTAACATGTAATGAGTGTATAATTGTTATTTTTAATGAATTAAAACATTTTTTAATTTCTTAGTTTTCGTATCTAATACGGTAAGTATCGATAGATATAACTTACAAACAAAACCTCTGTGAGGTCTTCAATAATTTTTAAGAATATAGAATCCCGAGAACAAAAAGTTTGAGACTGCTGTTTCATATATAGCCTGTTTCCGTTGAGTCTAAGGTGCACATTTTGACATTTCTGAAATTGGAGTGTATTTTACGGTTGAAGATGTCTTGTCATCGGCAGTTAGTCACAGACCTAATTGTGTGAAAATTTTTCATTGACATTTTCTGGTAACATCAAGAAAACACCAGCATGAAAAGTATTTTTGTTCATAATCCATTGTTTTCAGCTGTTCTTTCAACCTAACATATAATTGCTTCATATTCGTTTTTAACAAAATAATCATTCTCTTTTTTTTTTTTTTTTAACTCAGGAGCAGTATTTTTCCTTAAGACCTGACCTGAAGACCAGAAGCTACGGGAATATTAGCGAGCGTGTTGAATTGAGGAAGAGGTTGGGTTGTAAATCGTTTAAATGGTATTTGGACAATATTTACCCAGAGATGCAGATATCTGGGCCCAATGCCAAACCACAGCAACCCATTTTTATTAATAGAGGGCCCAAACGTCCCAAAGTCCTCCAACGGGGGAGGGTAAGAAAGTAATCTTATCAAATGTTTCTTCAACCTTGTGGGATATGAAATGCCTTGTGATGCCCATAAGCTTTAATAAATGACATTTTAGACTTACTAAAGTATTTAATGATAGACTATAGCGTACCCTACATTATACTCTTTATATGGGAACTTCCTCTACTCAGGTGTAAGACCTTAGAAATTTTAGCATGTTTGCTGTTAATATTAAGACCCTGTACTTCCCTGGGTTAAAAGAAGCATAACTTCTGTAAAGATAAGTTATTATGACAGCTTCCAAGAGAGTGAATATATATGTGAATATATACATCAATAAAGCAAATATAAAAGAAGTACAGAATTCATTTGGCAGAGGCCAGTCTAGAAAGGGGGGAGAAATAGAGTGTCTATACACTGTTCATGGCTCAGAGGCCCGGCCCAAAAAGGAGAGATGAGAGCGGGCCCGTGTTGAAGTAAAGACGTAAATTTAGCCTGGACATCCCCAATCCAGGCCGTCCTGGGAGCTGGTCAAGAGGCACGCTGACCGACCACATTGGTTTCTTTTGTTTCTAATAAAATGTGTTCACAGTTGTATAATGACACTTAAATTTTAGGGCTTCTAGCCATGAAATCATCTTTTTCCTGAGATTTTTAGAACTTGCTTTCAGAAAGTGAAGGGTAAATATCATTGCCGCCCAGTTTTCCCTTCTCTTAGGCAACAAAGAAGGCACTTCTCCTGGGGTCCTTCCACCCTGGGACAAAGGAAGGTAGAAGTAAGCCTAGACTTTCCCCTTCCTGGTCTCTCTACCTTGTAAGGTAAAGAAATTCATCAGGATATTTATTATTATTTTCTCCTTAAGTGAAAATAATACCAGTGTATGTCCAAGTAGTTGAAATCCCTTATTTCTTCCCTTGCGTATCTAATCTCACTTAGCACCTTAACTAATCCTTTTATACCTGTGTTACATCAGCTTTGCTTCCCTTGTTCTTTGCCCTGCCCCTCTCTTTTGTTTTATAGTATTTTTCCTCAGCTACCTGATTTTCTCCTTTTGAACTTTACCTCTTGAAATTTTGTCACTACATTTCTGTTGTGCTGCTCAGCTTAAGTTACTTTTCTTCTTTTGTCACCATCCCTGCTGTCACTAGTTTATGTAATTATTGTCAGTATTGACACTCATTCCTTTATTTATCCAACAAGTTTTTATTGAGTGCTTGCTGCAAACCAGGCGCTCACTCTGTGTGCTAGGGATGCAGTGGTGATTAAAAATGGACTTTCCCTGACTTAAGGGGGTAGCAAATTAATTAAATAAGCCAAGAAAAATTACAGTTGTGACAAGTAGAGGAGTTTCTTTAGAGAGGAGTACAGGGCTATACATTTGAAAAACAGAAGCAGCTTGGGGGTGAGGGAGTTCCACTGTCCACAGTTGAGGGGATTTGCCCTGGGTTGGGAGGCTTTCCTGAGGGTGGTCCTTGACCCAGCTGTGTAAGAGGAGGGAGAGCCTGTCAGCGGGGTGGGGGTGCGCACAGAGCGGTGCTCTCTCCAGGGGAGGCTCCTCTGTTGTCTGCCCAGTCCCAGGCCCGTGGTGGGGGAGGCACGCAGTGGGGGGCGGTGTGTGGGAGGCAGCAGAGCCCTGGGGGCCACAGGGTAAGGCATTGGGCTTTGTTTCACAGAGCAGTGGGAAGCATTAAAGGGGGTTTGCCTGGGTGGGGGAGGAGGCAGAAAGCCATAGCATCAGACTCACTTTTTAAAAAGAGTGTGGAGATTTCTAATACGTATTTGATAATGTAGTAAATACTAGTATATATTTCATAATATACTGAATACTTATGTGTGCTGTTTTTTATGTCTCCCTTGTGAATCCCCATGGTGTTTATAGTCTGCATATATCCCTGATTTAGCATGTATTTACATTTAATTTTCTTGTTTTGTTTGCTCTTGTTTATACCTTCTGTCCTCACTCATCGATTTCATTCTAAGGGCCATTAGGACAGGGATGATGTTTTCATTTCCTTCACCCCCACTGTAGGCTGGTGAACATGTATCTTTAGGTAGAGTTTCCACGTGACTCTGCTCCCTACACACATACGGTGTAAAAATGCCCATAACCTGGTAGTACCTACCGGGATCTTCCCACGTGCTAAGGCCAGAACGTCGGAATTAAAATGCTTATCTTTTTCTGGCCCTTGGCATTCATTCCTACAGATTAATATTGTCACATTTCATCCAGACCCTCCTCTTCAAGCATTCTGAAGCTTCTTCTGACATTGGTATTTCTCTGCGTTCCAAATTGTCAAGAGCTCTCTCTCCTCTCACAGCTGTATCACCCCCAGACCAACAAATGCCTGGTGGCCCAGGGCCGCCCGAGTCAGAAAGGAGGCCTGGTGGTGCTGAAGGCATGTGACTACGGTGACCCGAACCAGGTGCGTGCTGGCTGCGAGCTCAGGGGCTAAGGAGCTGGGATCAAGATGTTTGATACTCTGACTTTTCTAAAATTATAAATGTTAAGTTTGGAACGGCCCTAGAGATCAACTAGTACAACTCTCTTGTGTCCTTTGTAGAGGCGTCCTACCTCTGGCATTGTCCACGTAGCGTTTCTGTTCTCTAGAGCATTATGTGCACATTCCGATGTCACACGAGCAAGGGCACGCTGGGACTTCCAGACTGTGAGGGTCTGTTAGAAACGGCAAAGGGAAGTGCACTTCCTCCTGGGGGTACACTCACTCAGTCTACAGTCGAGGAGTCAGAGTGTCTTCGGTAGAGTTTTCTCTGAAATCGAACCTTCCTAGCTGATTTTTAGTGGTCGATCAAAGGAGACCACACCAGAATTTTGGTTCATGTTGTTCATATAATTTAATCTCAGTTTGTGTGTGTCTTTTCAGTGATACAAATATTTGAAGTGACCTTAAAAATAAGCAAAAAACTTATCTCAGTATGGAACTGTAGTTTCAGTCTGATTTGTATCTCATAAACAGTAAACCAATCAGTGATCTAATCTCAGTTGTAGCGCATCAAGACTACAGTGCCCAAAGCATGTCATAAGTAAGGAGTTGTCATGTCCATTTTAGTGGTGGATTGGTTTAACTTATGAAAGAAACACTTGGATTTTTGGTGGAAAGAGTCCATACTTTGAAATTTCATATAACATTTTATTTCTAGAAGAGTTCATGTACACTAAGGTGATACACATATTGGAGAATATGGTTTAAAAAGGATTTTTGTGCCATTTCTGGGTCTGAGGGCTGTTAGAAGAGGTATCAGTGTTGTGGACGCTGAAGTATTAGAATTTTGGTGACATTTCAATGGTATAGATCACAATGGGTTGAGATATCTGAAAGTTGAATTGTTCTAGAAAATGTAAGTTTGAGTGATAGAGTTATACTATCCTAGCTATACTATTGTGACCATATAGAGTTGACTAGTACTCTAGCCACTAGTCCACATGCAGTTATTTAAATTTAAATTAAGTAAAATTAAAAATTCATGTCCTCAGTCATACTGCCCACATTAAAGTGCTCAGTCACCATAGGTGGCTAATGACTACCATATTGGACAACACAGACATAAAACATTTCCATTGTCTCAGAAATTTCTGTTACACAGCACTGATAGAGAATCTTCTCTTTATATTCATCGGAGACAACACACATCCATCCTGGGCCTTAGGTAGAAGCAGCAATGAGTAACGTAACTCATGGAACAGAAGAAAACATGTTCCTTTTAGATTTAATGTTGGTAGATGTTGTACACTTCATCGAGAGAAAGGCCTTGCTTCTCAAAATTCTCAGAGAGGTTATTAAGAGGACTCTCCTGGAAGATCATTTGCACAACTAAGGAAAATCCTGCATCTGGGCAGTCAAGATTAAGTCCTCCATCTCATTCCAAATGCTGTTATGATCTGGGGTTAGAGTATCATATTCTGCAGGATAATGTGATGTAACAGCCTAGACACACAATCCCCCCCGCCCCAACAGATGAGGGAAAAATGAAAGTGATAGCCTTGTGTGTTTTCTGTCTAAAGAAGGCAAACCAGCAGCCTAGTTGGGCACCTCTAATTCTTACTCAGCATAGGAATTAAGAGATTTATCTAACTGTGGAATTAGAATTAGAAAAGATGTACAATCATTTGATCGATTAAGTTCAGCCAATTAGGTTAAATTTAATTACAAAATCCAACCACTGCTCAGGTTTCCTCTCTGACTAGGGCCTCTCTGCCCTGGGTTAGTGTGCTCCGTTTTCAGGTTGCTAAGTTGAAATCTGCCTACAGGTAACTTGTCCTAGGTTTGTTTCTGTTTTATGAAACCATACAAAACAAATTGATTTGTTTTCCATAAATACGTGAAGTGTTATACAGGCCTGAGTTTCTATTTCTGTATCTAAGGCAAAACTTGGATTTTTGATCTATTTTTCTCTAGGTTTGGGTTTATAATGAAGAGCACGAATTGGTTCTAAATAATCTCCTTTGCCTGGATATGTCAGAAACTCGCTCATCAGACCCACCACGACTCATGAAGTGCCATGGGTCAGGAGGATCCCAGCAGTGGACCTTTGGGGTGAGAAGCGTGTGTAGTGGTGTTGGGAGGTGTGAGGGATAAACAAGGCTGAGCAGGGCAGCAGTGTTCCTGAGCTCGGCTTCAGCTCCTCCGTCTGCCTTGTAGAGGTACTTCTGATTTGGAAGGAATATTCTTAAATGCTCCACACCTCTCTTGGATTTCTGTATCTTCACCATGTTCTGGCGTATGATTTTTAAGTAAAAGCAAGTAATCGGTGGTATTTCTCTCTTGTTACCTCTTTTTTTTTCCCCCAGAAGAATAGTCGGCTGTACCAGGTGTCAGTTGGACAGTGCCTGAAAGTGGTTGATCCGCTGAGTCAGAAAGGCTATGTTGCTATGGCAATCTGTGATGGCTCCTCCTCACAACAGTGGCGGTTGGAAGGTTAGGGCGGAGGCCTCTCTGACTGGAATGAATGGTGGATTCATTCGGCTTTGCTGCCTCTGAAAAATGTGATGATGTTTTAGAAAAAATGATGCTGGTACAGGGAAGACTCTCAGCTGACTTCCTGATTGAGCAGAAGCACCTGGGAGAGGATGACCATTTTCTTGTCCTCTGTGGAGACATCTGGGAAGACGAGCAGAGATGAGGCAGCAGATGAACGAGATCGGAGCGCCGTGTGACACCAGCAGATGAAGAAGTACCCTCCCCAAGACGCTGATGCTGTTTCTGAGCTGCCATTAAGGATTTCTTGCTTAGAGAGGGAAGCCAGAATGTAATTTTAACTCAAAAGACTTGGTTTTGTACAAAAGAACAAAACCCAGGAAATTGACATTTCTGTTCAAATTCATTTATGCCCCTTTTTAATCCCTTTTAGTGATGGAATGTTTTTTAGCTCATCAGGAACTTGTCATGATTTTGTTTCTTAGGAGCCTTCATAGGAGATAACTGTTTTATTGTATTTTGCTTCTGTTAGTATCAGTTTAGTATGTTCTAAATAATTTTTAAAACTGAATCTACATTACTTTTAATTTCAGAGGCATCATTTATAAGACAGTATTTAAGAGGAAATTAACTATTATAAATTATTTTGATGAATGATGATACTATCTACATTTAAAATAAAGAATCCTTTTGATTATATACCTAGAATTTTTGTCTCCTCTATTCTTTGTTGAGTCCTTTGGTCTGAGTTGTTCTATGTGTGTGGTAAGTAAGAGAAGAAATACTCATTTCAGCTTAGGTGATGAACCAGTAAGCTAGGTAGCAATCCCTAACTTTTAGGGAAAGCTTCATAGCTTCTTAACTTGAGCTATGTGAATTTGAACCTGAAGTTACATGAATTTTGATACTTTAAAGTTGCCTGTGAAATTTCCAGGTAGTATAATTAAAAAGGCAGTTGGATATACAGGTCAGGATATCAGAAAATATATCTGAATTATTGGAATTGTCTGCATACAGTGTAAGTGCCCAAATATAAGCTGATTTTTTCTTTTTAACAAAAAAAACAATTTAGAAGGCAGTTAATTCGAGTCCACATAGATGTGTATTTTCACCTGTGGTAAATTTCATCACTAAAATGTTTCCTTCTTAAAAACTGTTTTGATAGAAAGTAAAGACTGCATATTTTGGAGATTTTTTGTTTTTAATCTCAAGAATTCGTAAGCCAAGAATTCTTAAGCTAGATCTCTTATAGAAGTAATACTCATATTTTTTTCTTTAAAATTTATTTTGTAAAAATACTTTTTAAAGCAGAACTTGGTGATCGGTAAATTCTGCTTAATCTGTTTTTAGGTTATTTATGTTGTAGACTTAAATGTTATATTACATTAATTTTTCAGTGACAAAACATGGAAGTCAATCAATCATAATAATAACAAAGTTATAGTTAATCAACAAAGGAGATAAAATGGAATCATAAAACATAATCCAAAAGAAGGCAGAAAAAGAGGAAAAGGGAATAAAGAATTGTCATCGTTAGGTGCCATTGAGTTGATGATTTTCTAGGCTGTAATCTTTACAGAAGTAGATTGCTAGATCTTTCTCCCCCAGAGCCACTGGAAGGGTTTGAACTGCCAGCTTTTTGGTTTGCAGCCAAGCACTTAACTATTGCACCACCAGGGCTCCTTGGAACAAAGATAGTACATATAGAAAACAAACAGCAAGATGGTAGATTTAATCCCCAAAATACCACTGATCACATTAAGTGTGAATAGGTCTGAAAACCCCAATAAGAAGGCAGAGACTGTCAGATTGGATGTGCTCCCTGTAAGAAACTCACTTGAAATATGAAGACACAAATAGGTTAAGAATAAAAGGACAAAAATATATGCATTCTTAAACACTAAAAACATCTGCGGAAGCTATGTTAATATTAAAGCAGGTTTCAGAACAAAGAATATTACCATGGATAAAGAGAGTCATTTCATGGTGATGTAGAGGCCAATTCATCAAGAGGAAATAGCCTTAAACTCTTACACACCTAACAACAAAACTTCAAAATACATGAAGCGAAAACTCAACAGCAAAGAGAAATAGATAAATCTACAGTTATAGTAAGAGATTTCAACACCCATCTCACTAGTTGCTAGAACAAGTTGAAAGTTAAAAAAAGAAAACCTGTTGCCGTTGAGGACAGAGTAGAAGGAGCACCTGGTGAATTTGAACGGCCGACCTTTTGGTTAGCAGCCATAGCTCTTAACCACTTTGCCACCAGGGTTTCCTGAAAGTCAGTATGATATAGAAAACTTAATATGATAGCCAGCTTTACCTAATTGACATTTATGTCTGGACACTCCACTCAACAATAGAAAGCACATTCTTACGAGTAAACATGAACATTTACCAAGAAAAATTATATTCTGGAATATTAAACAAGTCTCAATAAACATTTAACTCCTGAAAAAGAAGGACACACTTTCTGGTTTTAGAACTTACTACAAAGCAATGATAAGATAGTGTGGTACTGACACAGGGACAAACAGATAAACAATAAAATCGAGAGTCCAGAAATAAACTCATACTGCTGCAGTCAACGGATTGTTTACAAGTGTCAAAACCATTCAATGAAAAAAGAACAGTAGTTTTTTTTTTTTAACAAATGATGGCTAAGATAGCGACTTGCAAGAGTAAAGTTGGACCCTTACCTCATACCACATACAAAAATTAACTCACAATGGATCAAAACCTAAATGTAAAAGCTTAAGCTTCTTGGAAGAAAACAGGGGTGAATCTTTATGACATTGGATTTGGGAATGGCTTCTTACATATGACACCAAAAGCAAACAACAACAAAAAGTATTGATAAATTGGGACTTCATCAAAAATAAAAACTCATGTTTCAAAGACACCATCAGGAAAGTGAAATAACACAGAATGAGAGAAGATATTTGCAAATCATAGTTAAGGGACTTGTATCTGAATTATTTGAGGAACTCATAACAACAAAAATATAAATATCCCAGTTTAAAAACGGGCAAACTATCTGTATAGACATTTCTCTAAAGGATATGTACAAACAAATGACCAGTAAGCACATGGAAAGATGCTCATCATAGTAGTCGTCAGGAAAATGCAAATGAACTGGCCTAAAGGAGACTGGAGAAACCCCAAGAGTATGGCCCCCAGACACCCTTTTAGCTCAGTGGTAAAGTTACCTTCGAGGTTCACTGATCAACCTGCGAGTGGACAGCCCAGTAAAACCATGAGAGTAACGAGGTACAGGAGTCCAGTGACAAGGCCCAGAAGGCAGAAGGGGAGTAGGAAGCTGATG